GCACCCTAGTCCTCAAGCTGACATCTCTGCTCTTCAATACTTTAAAAAGTGTAGTTGGGAATCTCATGCATAGATTACTTTTTCAATTAAGACCTCATTTAAAATGTTGTTGTTGATAAGTGAGTCGATTCCAACTCATAGCGACTCTGTATAGGGGCTTTCCAAGGAGCAGCTGGTGAGCTTGAACCACCGAACTTGCAGTTCAAACGGCTTTCCAGTCTGACGTGTTAGCCCACAGCGCCACACCAAGAATCCTCATTTAAAATAGTACTATTTTAAATTTGTCTCATTTTCTAGTGTTGTTAAATATGTAAGGACATTTACTAAATATTTAATTTATTACTATATAGACAAAAGGACAAATTGATACTTAGTTGCCTCCTTCCTTTTTTTGTCACAAAAACAAACTTCAAAACAGGAGGCAGCATGACTCTCTAATAACCCTTCAGAGAAATAACACAACTGAAAAAAACGTGGCAAATTTATTTGCAAATATCCATATACCCCTTATACTTCATTATTTTTAGTTTTTAGATTAGAAAACTCCCTACTTTTTATTCTAATTTATCTTGTCAGTGCTTGCTGTTTCTCTTCAATCCAAATTCACATCCATTTCACATAATCTAAAAGCCACAAAATAACAGAAACTACTACAAGTCATTTGCAACTACCACCCACTCTTCTTTTAATATAGAAATCTCCTTGTTGGTTTTCAACTTCCATGTGTCAGTGCTGGGGAAAAGCTTAGACCATACTTGGAGATAGGTGGATGGGCAGGCAGGAGGCACCGTCTACCCACACTGGCGCTAGGAGCTCCAATTTAGAGCTTGGGAAAGAGACATGTCGTAGTTACACAGTTTAAATCTAAAGAGGGGCTTTAAATGTATCTGTGCATCGAGTAATTTTTATAGTAGTTCTAAGTCAGTCTTTCATTTATCATTACTGCTTTTTTTATGTTTCATACTGACTCTGAGAATCAGGCTTCTCTGCCAAAATCGATTTAATCTCACATGCATATTATTATTCACCTGCATCTACGCTAACAGGCCCTTTTCCAGAGCCAGTAAGAGGGTTAGTCCAGGAGACCTAAACCCCAAGTCATGAACCCAAAAGATGAAATCTCAAACATAAGAAACAAGCCTTGAATGGAAGGAAGACAAAAAGCTAATTGGGGGTGAGGAATCTACAGATTTCTTGCCAAATGGATGGAGAGAAAGCCTGTCTGGTGATTAGGGATCGGGAAGCTTTTTCCTTGGATGTGGAGGAAACCACAAGGTCATGAGATGAAGCTTGAGGCATTGATTGCTTTCCGGTTGCGCTTTCTGCAGCGCAGAAACTATGGTCTCCATCGCGCTTCACTTCGCTGCAAGGGTTCACTGAAAACTCTACCTATGGGAAAGTTCGTGTTTCTTGGAATTTAGGAACCATTTGAGTCTGGAGAGGACTTTTTTTTTCTTCTTCTTTTTTCATTTGAGTTTAAGCTGTATATTTTCTGTCCTATGCAGAAAAAGCTAACCCTTCGCTGGAGAGCAATGCGCAATCGGCATTTCCCCTGAGTGCTCTCTGCCTCGCTGTATGAACTAAGTGACGCTTTCAGGGGAAATGAAGAAAGGCATCCATCAACACTCAAAGGCGCAGAGCGGAACTTTTTCTCTGCTAACTGTGTGTGTGTTTGTG